GATACCAAGAGATCCCTAGTGTGTATGATGAGGATACCAAGAGATCCTCGGGATACCGAGAGATCCCTAGTGTGTATGATGAGGATACCAAGAGATCCTCGGGATACCAAGAGATCCCTAGTGTATATGATGAGGATACCAAGAGATCCTCGGGATACCAAGAGATCCCTAGTGTGTATGATGAGGATACCAAGAGATCCTCGGGATACCAAGAGATCCCTAGTGTATATGATGAGGATACCAAGAGATCCCCGGCTATTATTCCTTGTTGAGTTCAGTTTTCCTTGTATTGTACCTTGCTTTCTATTACTGTTCTTCCTTATTTACCTGGTTTAGAATTCTCATTGTAGACTTTATTTAAACTGTTTCTGTTATCTCATTATTTATTATGTTATCTCAGTAGGGCCCTGACCTTCCTCGTCACTACCCAACCGAGGTTAGGCTTGGCACTTACTGAGTACCGCTGTGGTGTACTCATGCCCTTCCTGCGCATGTTTTTCATGTGCAGATCCAGGTACTTCCTCGCAGGTGTATCATCCTCGTGGTGGAGAGTTCTAGCTGAGACTTGAGGTATATCTGCTACGTCCGCAGACCAGGAGTCTCTACTCTATTCTTGCTTTAGTAGATAGTTTCTTTCTTTCCTTTCATGTTGTTAGACATTCTGGTGTAGAGCAGATCACTACATTCTATTAGCCTGTGTTTCCCGTGAGTTTCCGGGTTTTGGGATTTAGTTGTAGACTTTCGCATATTTTTGAGTTGTTTAGGCCGAGTGGCCTTATATACAGTTGTTATTTCCATATGTTCAGTTTTAATTAATTATTCCGCACTGTTAGGCTTACCTAGTTGTAGGAACTAGGTGCCATCACGACATGTTCATGGAGGGTGAACTGGGGTTGTGACATATTTGTACGTCAATCAGTGGTTGAGAATATTGTAGGCCAGTTGTAGTAGTTGATGGGACCTTCTTAAAGTCAACATACAAAGGAATAATGCTAACAACTAGTATAATGGATGCAGTAGGTATTGTAGATATATTACAGATATATTGTAGCTTGTCTATTTTTTGTAGAACTTGTAAATTTATTGTAGATATATTATTGTAAAGTTGTAGTTTGTATGTATATGTCTTCCTCTGCATTTTTCATGCATACAATTAATTGCTTTTTGCCACATATTGTAGGTACCATATTACCATTGGCATATGCTGTTGTTGATTCCGAAAATGACGCATCATGGAAAATGTTTTTTGAGCAATTCAAACATGCATATGGTGAAAAACAAAATATGTGTGTTGTTTCGGATCTGAATGAGAGTATCTTGAAGGCAACATCTATTGTTTATCCAGGCATGCCACATTATTCTTGCATGTGGCATATTTGGACAAATATAAGGGCAAAGTTCAACAAGGGTCATCTAAAGTTAAGCGAATTGTACTTTGCCACGGCACGATCATACACGCTTGATGAATTTAATGAAAGGATGTCAAAGATTGAAGAGATTGACCCGCGTGTTAAAGCATACTTATACGATATTGGCTATCATAGATGGTCTCGAGTACATGCTACGGTGAACAGAACTTGGACTATGACATCAAACATTGTAGAGTCGTTGAATGTTGTAACAAAAGATGCAAGAGAGCTGCCGATAGTAGAACTATTAGAGTATATGAGGACTCTTCTTGAACGTTGGACTAAAGAAAAGTTATTGAAAGCAAAGGGTACATTCACATACCTTGGGTTTAAATACAACGAAGAGTTGGATGACAACAGAACATTGTCGCACAAGCATAGAGTAAGATCTGACCATTTATTGCATCAAAATAAATTATTAAAAGACAATGTAGATATTTTGTAGATTTTGTATTCTGATTGTATATGAATTGTTTTTTGTTTGTAATGTAATTGTAGGGGAGGGCTTCAACAGATTACATCCATACAGTACTAGATGGTTTCAGGCGCTATATTGTTTGTCTTGAAAACAAGAGATGTAGTTGTGGGCAATTACAGCTTGATGAACTTCCTTGTCCACATGCTTTGGTTGCTTTAAGGCACAGGGATGAGTCTTATGAACAATATTGCTCTCCTTATTACACAAGGGAGAGCCTCTTGCGTACTTATGAAATACCAGTAAATCCTTTACCTGATGAAAGCAAATGGAATGTGCCACAACATATAACTGAAGAAGTTGTAAATCCACCTTCAGGTGGGAAAAGACAGCCAGGAAGACCTCAAAAACAAAGATACAAAACATATGATGAAGTAAATTCAAAGAAGTACAAGGTTTCATGTGGCAACTGCGGAGTAGAAGGGCATAAAAAAAGATCTTGCAAGAATGCTCCCAAAAAGAAATAAAATTTTATGTAGTAAACTGATTTTTTCATAAAAATTGTTGATGAGTTCAGGAGAATTATATTTGATGTGTAATAGTTGAGGCACCTTCAACTCTTAATGTAGTTAGTTTGAAATTGTTTTGTTTAATTAGTATTCTTTATTGAGTTAATACTTTCATAGCTTGATTGGTTTGTGAATAGTTTCTATATATATAATACAATTGTTTTATTATCTCTAGCACCCATCGATATTTGTTAATGATCATTACAATTTATCTACAAAAAAACTACAAAATAACTACATAATCTAGAGTTGACAGAGTAACTACATAATAATTAAGTTGAAAAGGAGTTAACCAGTAACAATAATTAGATCAAGTACTGTTTACTTTCAACAAGTGAATATAAAAATAACAGAATGTTTCCCCATTGTTCGAACTAGTATACTGGATAAAATAAAAAAAACAAAGGGTAAAATAATTGTGGCACTAAATCTGCTACAATTAAACTTCAACAATCTTGTTCATAAACTTGTCTACTATCTTCCTACAAAACTAGCTGCAACTAAACAATTTAACTACATGTTCCATACAAAAAATTACAACTAATTCTTCTTCCTCAAGACTTGTGTTTTCTCGTTCAGAACTGGTGCACCTTTTTTCGTTGCTAATCTGCCAGTCACCTCACTTTCACTAATTGTACCATTCTCTTGCTTTATCCTAGCGTAGTCCCACAATAGTGCTCCATAGCATCTACGATATTGATCAATATCAGAAAGGTCATCCGCAGGAACTACTAGGTCTCCAATGCTGACATACTCTGCAAAGGCAGCAACATATACACCACAGTCGCTGCAAAAATAAAAAAAGTGTCAATATTTAGCAAACAATGAACCAAAAAATGTTAAATAGATAGAAAGAAATAAGATTTTTCATACAATGATCCTTCTTTTTGCTGTGGAATCTCTCCGACGATCCACTGAATGTCAATAGGGTCGGTAACAGCTTTTTCAATGTACGCCTTTGTGTTCTTGAAGTTGATGTCTGAACGCTTGCCATAAAAATCGGTGCATGACAAGTAAAGGGGGATCATAACAGACAACTTGGAGACTACAAATTCAGCAATAGGGTGATTATGTGAGAGACCATAGAATCATACACATAAAGAACCCTATCGGCAATGTCAAAAACAACCAACAACCAGTGGAATTTTTCTACAATGTTGACGGGCATGATCACATAATCAACTTGATCCCATGCAACATTTGCGAGTAATTTGTACCCCAATTTGTATTCTGCTACGACGTCCTGGGGTTGACAACAACAAACTTCTTTTCTTGAGGAGAATTGATGAACTTATTATAAATTTGTTCAATTCTAGTCTTGAACATACAATCAATGGTAGTAAACCTTATCTTCTTGTGTGGCCCATACTTTCTTCTTTTCCTCAAGTAGTAAATTATAACATCAATGTGCTGCAACAAAAATAGATTGCATTTATGTTATTCTTTTTGGTAAATATCTAGAAAAAGTCTACAAAATAACTACAATTACATTTGTTTAAAATCAGTATTATAAATTATCTACAGAATATCCACAGAGAAAACTACAATTTTATTTGTTTTTAATCATTATTACAAATTATCTACAATATATATATATATATATACAAACTAAGTACAATTCCGTTTGTTATTAAGGATTAATACAAATTATCTTCAAAACATCTACAATATACCTACAATTCAGTTTTTTATTAAGCATTTATACATAATATCTCCAATATATCTACACAATAACTACATATATTGGAGATGGCACTATAACAGTGTTATAGATACAAATAAAAAAAAGTTCAACAAAATAACTACATATTTTGAGTATGAGTTTACCGAAGTGCTTGATGACTTGTCCGGGGTGTGCCAAACTATAGAACCACTCTTTCTTATCAACCTTTTCCACTCCAAGATCAAATCATGGCTTAATTTGGTTATCCTTTATAGAATACAGAGCCTTCCTCCTATTTAAACAAATAGAAATTAAAATAAATTTGCTGAATGAGTAGATATCTAAAAGATGAATACTGGAATCAAAGGGTCAAATTATGTAAACTAACCTCTTTGAAGCTGTGTCGGTACCAAGGTATAACCACTTATTGAATTCTTCCAACAACTCGGGATCAACATCTTGACCAATAACACTAGTAAATGGGTGCTTCAGGTGAAAAATTTGAGTCGAACCGAAGTGCTTCCACCAGAACTGTATAAAGGGAGAAATGGTGATCGGGCATGCTTTCCAGGCTACATTGTTCTACCTTGATGCACAGGTGTTGTTTCATCTTGGTTTGGCTCGCCGAACTTAACCAATTGGGAGAAGTTATCTGGCAGCTCAAAATCATCAAGTGTAACCTCCTTCTTCTCACCTATGGAGTCGTCCGAATCACCTACATTTACATACTCGGCTTCTTCACCTACATTAACATCTTCCTCATTCTTTTGTTCTCCTTGAATTGTTACTGTGACTCCGTGAATTGGAGATTGTGCATGCATATCTTCCCTCACTGCTACATTTAGTATATCTAGCTTAATAGAATTGTAAAAAAAATTGAAACAGAAAGCAAAAATTTCTGAATAAAATTTCATACCTGCATTTTCTTCATCAACTGCACCTTCAAAAGGGGAATATAAATCAACACGTGCTGGAAGATTCTCATTATTTTCCATGTCATTCACATGCCCTGTTTTTTCATTAAAGAATTTGAATTATAATGGATAGTAGTTCCTTGACAGTTTTAGGAGATATGTAGGTATATTATAGAGATCTACATAAATCTGTAGATCTTTGTAAATATACTGTATTTAATTGTATATATATGGTAGATATGTTGTAAATTTAATGTAGATATTTTGAAGATATATTGTAGACATGTTGTATATATGGTGTAGACAACTTGTAGATAATTTGTAGATAAAATGTATGTATTTTGTATATACCTGTTTTGCTGCTGCTGGCATGCACTGGTTCTCCACTAGTGCACTGAAATTGTTGATTGTTCTTTTCTTTTGGGTGGTCAGCATTTTTTGTAGAACTCCCAGCAAACTGAAAGTTTTATATTAGTTAGGATATCTATTTTATGAATAACAATATAACTTAGAGGTGACAGAAATAGTTTTGTTAAATGAATAAACTGATAAATATTACCTTGGCATCAATGTTATCGTTTCAACTATTTATCACCTGCAAAACATCCTTGATTGACTCATTTAGTAGCTCTCGAAGGCTACCTAGTTCTTCAAAGACATCTTTCCTGAAAGATTCAAGATCTAAATCAACCTACAATTAAAAATATAGAGAGTTAGTCTCAAACATTAGCTTACATACATTAAAGAACTAGATAGCAATTTTATGTATACATGTTACCTTCTCTAAGACCGTTTTTTTAAGTTTCTAATTTGTTAAGAATAGACTTTGTCCTCTTTTCCAATTGACTCTTTGGGTTCCAATGGAGGAGCATCAACTTTCGGATCCTCAGAAATGTGTTGAACTTCTTCAAGTATGTACTCAACTTTATCAGGCAAAGACATCATAGAAAGCTCTTCAGTTGCTTCAGTTATGTTGGTGAACTGAATGAAAAAAAAATAGCTTGACTAAACAGAATATGTATACAAATTGTAGATAATTTGTATTAAATTATATATTCATAAATAAAAACCATTTACCTTGATCCATTCAGGTTTGATCATTCTATCTTCAATTGCAGCTAACCATATCTTGTCCTTACTAGCTGACCAGTTAAGTATGCGAGGGATTGAATTAGCAACTCTTATAGCTATATCAGTGTTGACGGTAGAGCAACACTCATACAACCATACTTGCATAGCTAGTGCGAATCCTCGAATGAGATAAGAATGAACAAAAGGATTGAGCCTGTGCCTAACTGATTCAATCAACTGTTTGTAAGACTTAATACCCCATGCGTATGTCGCATACTGCCCAGAGTCCACCAAATAAAACCTAAAATGGTCTACCAACCCAACATTGTCTTTGTCTGAAGGACAGATGAAGAATTCTATGAGATATAGAATACATAACTTGACTGCGTCCTCATCATTTACCCACCTTTTGTTGGTTACAATCTGTTTTAGGTATGACATCTCCACTTTTTCCTTGTTTGGAAAATAACTCCTCATTATCTTACTGTCATAATCCGGAGTGTAACCAAAGTATGTCGCTTTGGTAAAATATCTAAGACCAGTTATTAGCGCAAACTCTCTCAAGCCAAAATTCAACCTCTGACCCTTTAACTCAGTTGAAAAATAGGAAGCACCAGATGCATTCAATTCATACTTCATTAGAAAATGAATAGCTTGGTTTTGCATACATATTTTGAGAATTGACAGCAAATAACCAAAACATGTCTTCTTGAAAAGCTTTAAACCATTTGGAGACAATAACTCTTTAATTTGGCTAGGAACACTGGGGTCGGATAATGTCTGAAACCTAAGGAACCCATAATTAAAATTATGAGGTGCAAAAAATGGCGATTCTGCACAAAAAAACAAATAATCTCTTATTAATACACTGCTCTAATCTAAAAAACAACATATCTACATTTGTCATACAATATATCTATAATATATCTACAACTACATAATACAGTTAAAAACAAAAACAAAATAACAACAATTTTTTAACAATATATCTACAAGTTTAAACATATTCAGAAAATTACAACTAATCTTCACAATGTAGATAAAATATCTACAAACCACAAAAAACACAGATTATGGAGCCTTTTAAGAATTAAAACAAATAAAAAAACTGTCACGCCCCAAAATCCGAGGAGCGCGACCGGCGCTCAACCAAGTAAACCCGACCGAGCAAGCATGTTAGATCTCATTCTACCCCAAACTAACTCATGAATAAATTGGAGATGGACTTCATTAATCAAATTCTATAAACACATTACTAACGATTTCCATTTCATTTTCATTAGCAACTTCATTCACCATATTAAAGGTAT